GAGTAGTGAATTAGGGTTACTAACGTTCGCCAAAAATCATTTATATAGATAGTCATGATTGAAATAAGGGCAGTGGAATTAGATTACACGTGGAGTTTTCTTATTGGTTGGATATAAATTCTGAAAGCCTCAAACTTGTTTTTGTAGGTTCTCTTGAAGTTGGCCCATGACATGGTATTTCACAAATAATGGGCATCTAAACATTATAAAGACGAGGGGACATTGTGAAGAGATTTTTCTAGCTTATGGATTGTCAAATGTCACAAGTAAATATACAATACTTGCATGTTCGATAATTAGACACTATTTGTGCTAAAAACCAATTAATGAATTAAAATTTAGCACTGATAACTTCAATTAATATAAATACCAGTTTTCCTAAATTTCAAGAAATGAAAAATTCGCATAAAATATATTTTACCAAATTATTGAAGTGTTGACAATTGAGAGTAATTTGAGTTCAACATTCGAAATTCAACAAACGCAGTGATTGTAAAACTAATTTTTTTAGTTGTACATTATTAAACCAGTTAACTAAAGAAAATGTGCTTAATAATTGGAATAAAAACATGAGAGCAATAAATGAAAGGAGTGGAAACTATTTAATAATTTTCCCAAACAAACATGAACCACAACTTCACTCTCAAGTGAAGTGATGAGATATTTTAGTTGATGTCTTTAATCAATTCGAGAGCCAACACAATTTGTTTATGTTGTTGTGTTTATATATTTAGTTACAATGTAAACATCAGACTCATAAGTCATAACCTGTGAATAAATGTTTGTTTGGTATCTTTAATCCATTCAAGACTTGTAATCATCGTAAATATAGGTATATGTAACAATTATCATTTAGTAAATTTGTTTAATCAAACATGTATATTTAAAAAAAAGTATATTTTTCAAAAAATCATTAATATTTTGTGTTGTTTTTAAAAAATTTCTCATAACTTAAAGTTTCCAACATAATGGAAGAAACTTAGGAGGACAACTCGTGAGGTAGTTTTCCATTGCAACTAATTTTTTTTAACATGTGTCACATCAAAAGAAAGGGTTGTAAACATCACATTAGATAAAAAAAATGTGATATTTTGAAACAGAAAAAAATTATTAATAAATTACTAAATATTTGAAACTTTATCAATGCCAAAAAAAAAAGTTTACCGTAATACTAAAGTTAGTGCCACATACCAACATCACGAAGCGTGACGGCTCGATACCGGGATTCTTAACGATGTTGACAATTGACTGAAAATCTGATAATGTATTTAATGAATGAAAGTTGGTTTTGTAATTTTTTTTTGTGTGTGGAAGAATGAAGAAATAAAAATGTTTTATG